ACCTGAGATGGTGCGGCCAGAGCCTCTCGTCCTTGCTAGCCAGGGTCGCCACGCTTGGCCGCGCTTCAGGGCCCCGAGGGTTTATGCCAAGGTCACCAGCGAAACGTAGTCAGGAGCTGACCTTCCTCCTGGCCCAGCGGTTCTCCTTTCATCGTGGTCGTTGTCATGTCTCGTGATAAGCGCAAGGCGTTAAAATGGCGAAGGATAACCAGATAACCAGAACCTGTGTGGTTTTCTGTGCTGGACGTGGTGGCTGCCCTGCCATCACGCAGCCTCTGGTTTTCCTCTACCCACCGTAGGGACAGGGAAGCACATGTGTTGGTTTAATGCTAGAGAGGTTCGGTCCTGGGAACCCGGTGACTGTGTGGGTTTTACAGCCTTTTTATTTCACAGTACAGGGCCCTCATGGATAGTGAGGGAAGGATGCATCAGGGATATCTTTGTTTCTCTTTTTAATCAATAAAGATTAGGTGAAGTGTTGAGCATTAGCATGTTACTGCTGTCTTTCCATTCCTATCCCCGCCTTTGCCTTGTCTGCACACCTGGGAGGGTGTGTGACTGCAGTGGTTTGGGGGGCTCGGTTTGAGAAATGGCAGCTTTACATTGTGAAGCCCTCTATTTGTGGCCTTTACGTGAATTCATCTTTGCAATTAAATGACAGAGTTTGCTTGCTTTGAGCTCCTGAAAAGTGGAGATTTGACTGCTTTACTTAAGATATCACCCTGTGCACTTAAAGCAGCTGATGATAACAGTCATGGTTTTAGCCTGCTTCAGTCGTAAAACCCAACTACTAATTAAGACTATTTCCTTCTGTTTTTTCTCTTCTAGAAGCAGTGCCAAGTTGATAGCACCATTGGGATGCTTGGTCTCTAGGCAAAAGCACACTCTTCCTGACTTGCCATATGACTATGGCGCTCTGGAACCTCATATTAATGCAGAGATCATGCAGCTGCACCACAGCAAACATCATGCCACCTACGTGAACAACCTGAATGTTGCAGAGGAGAAATACAAAGAGGCACTGGCAAAAGGTCCGTATATCCACAGTCAATAGATGAGGCAGAAGCTAATTGACCTAAACAATATAAGAGAAAAAAAAGGATTGCCCTTTCTTCCAGGGGAAATAATGTCTTTTAAAAGTTTTGGGTTGTCTAATTCAAGCTCTCTTTTTTTCAATGTTTAAATAAAGTCAAATGCTATTAGGAACAAGCTTCCATTGTAAGCTTCAGTGGTGCTGACAATTGGAAACTAGGTATAACTAAAAAGCGTGAATTCTGTTCTCTGCAGTGCTGTAAAACTAGAAGAAAATTCATTGATTGTTGTGGATTTAGTTCATATTTATATTAGTTTCTTGCATGAGAGACTGAATCAATAGGAAGCTGCAGTCGTTTACAAATACTTTGTAATGAAAGGTTAGTAACAGACTTGCATAAAGCAAAATCTGTGCACCTTGATGGTTTTCATATCAGATGCTCTGGTGATTCTTGCGAAATAATCTTAGTCGCCTGCAAATGGAGGTAAGACAAATGTGCAGTTAATGTGTATGACACCTAGTGAAGAGATACGAATTTGGCTGTCAGTTGTGCCACTGGATCAAATGAAGGATTGATGTAGGTCATATGCCAGTGTGACACACAAAAATATACATCAAGCAATCATGGAATTTTTTGTTAAGATCTAGAATTGAATCTTGAGATAGGCTTGCTTCTTTGAAAACTTTACAGTTGTTCTGGTAGGGCTATAGTGAAACACATGAAATGCTTTTTTCCAGTCTTCTTTCAGTCTTTCAGTTGGACTGATGAAAGTGTGAAATAACATGTACGTTTTTTTAAGAAGGTGGACTATTTTCTGATTTCTTTTCTGTTGTGAGGATCTTTCTAAAGAGTGTCAATTTATGTCTAAGAAGTGACTGCTTTATAGACTTACTTCTGTGTGCTTGCCATTTGGCTTCACAGTGTAATTTAACTGCTTGGGCTTGGATGAAAGTGAGATTTGTCGTATACCTGAGTAAACCTGAACTCTGTAGCCCTTGAGAATTGCCAGTGTGCTTGAATAGAGAATGTTGGTTACCTATGAAAGTGTAGAGATTTTCAAGTGCCTAAAGTAAGCCTAAAAATAACTTGTGCAGTCTAAATTAACGAACTAATGAGTTTCAGTTAAGAATCAGGGAATCAAGATTAGTTGCTGCTTTGTCCTGCCAGTGGTGGATCCAAGGAAGTTGTATTCCAGAGATTTAATTAGTGCAAACAGAATTGAGGAGGGAACCGGAACTATAAGAAATTGGTATACCTGCTGCTGATGTTACTTATGCTGTTTAATGACCAGGGTTTCTGCCACTAGTGGAGGCAGAATTTCTGGTTAGCAGGAACATCTGCAGTGTTATGGATCCTTTGAGATATTTTTAAAAAATACTATCTTTTGATAGGTTTTCATCACTTCCTGTTGGAAATGGTGTATCTAGAGGTACAGATTCCCTAAGAATTTTGCAGGCATTATTTTGCAAATGGATAACGTACTGGTGGTGGTCATGCACATCAGAGCAGACAAATATTTGTTTGCAGTATTTGTGTCCGTGTGTTTTGGTTTGGCTTCCCCCCGCCCCCTCCAACTGGTATCCCAGTATACTGTGTGTGATATTTTGGCCCTCATTAGAAAGACTTCTGAGACCAGGCTTTAGAAAAGGGCAAAGTCTGAACTGCCACCTCGTTCTGTCAGTATTGTCATTCTTTTTCCATACTTAAAAGCTGAGCATGATCAAAAAATCGTTCGGCACTACCTTTCAGTGTTGGGTTACACAGCACGTCTAATCACTATCTAACATCTCTTCTGGATAACAGAACCTTGTCAATGTCTTTTGTTCAACAATAGAAGGTAAAATATTCTCTTCAGATCATCTTTAACATGTTCTTCACCTACCTATATCTGCTTAGAAAACTCAAATAAAAGCTGTCCTGAGTTGAGTCCCAATGTTGTCAGCTCATTTGAAAACGAGTATGCACTTCTGTGATAGGGTTGCAGCACAAGAGCTTTGTTATTTGTTTCATCATAAGCTGGTTCTGATTACTGGTCTATCAAAATCTGCAAGATACAAACTTGAAACTTTTTTTCAGTGAAAACTTGTGCCTACTACATTTTTTTCCTGTTCTTTCTCACCATCATGTGACCTGTGGTGCTTTACTTAACTGCTCTTTACAAGGAAACATATCACTCTCGGTAGACTGAGAAACTGAGCTGAACTGGTCTCTTGGGCACCTCTACGCTGCCTGTCTTGGTTTACTGAATTGTACTCTGTGGCTGTGTTGAGGAGTGTGGTAGGCTGGACCAAAACCCAGGGACCCTCTATACAAATAAATTCCAAGATACTTACAGGCAAGTTACTTATTCCCTGTTGTCTTTTCCAGTGCAAAGTTCAGCAG